CATAGCTGACCACCTCCCCACACTGACCACCTCCTTAAATTGAACTAATTTTCATAGACCAGATATGCACCATATGTACTCAGCAGAAGTTCTTTAAATCGACCACCTCTGTATGTTAACCAGTTTGTTACAGTCCCTTGCATAGTCAACTTACAGAGGTTCTATTGTGTGTAAACACACACACATATGGGAGGGGATATATGTGTAGTGTATGTGTGTGTGGAGAGAAGACTGTCTCAAAAATCTTGAGGTGTTACAGGAATTTTCTTTTCTGAGTTTCTATTTTTCAAACAATATATAGTAGCATTGTATTACATTTTGTATATTACTTTTAAATCAGAAAATGAGTTTAAAAATAAGTAACAACTTCTGCTTTGGAGAATTGAGGTAACAAGGTAAGACTAGGCTGTTCAAAAATAGAACTTTTGCTTCATTATCTAAATATAGGGATCTTTAAACATATTGAAATTTCTTAAAAACCACTAAAGCATGTCTCCATTTTTCTATTTGGTTTTCATTTCTGTTATTCACTACCAAACAATCTAGATTTTTCCCTTTTCAAAGTCATTCAGACAGGGTTGGGCTAGAAGGTGTATTCTGTTGGGGGTTGTTTTCTCTTACAGTATCTCCTTCAATCTGACAGAGGGAGACATTTCGTAACCACTCTTTATAACAAGACACAAGAAACATCGATGTTCAGTAAGCAGTGAGCCCAGGAAACCAAGTCTTGAATTTCAGGTGCCATACTCCAGTCTAAACCAAGAAGAATTTCCTTTATTTCTTGCAATTGCTATTGATTTTCTTTTGGGGATCAACCCAGATAATCTAGCATCTGTGAAGAACATGTAATTCAAACATTACAAGTAGCTGACCTCTGAACTTGTTGACCGCTTTGCAGTTGTGGCATCTAAACTGAGTCTGTGTTTTGTTCCAACCTGTGCGTTATGCCATGATTGTGCATACTTAGATTAGGTGGGGTGTTATTACACTTTGTTCTAGGACATAAATGTGATTAGTGTTTAATACTGACCTGGAGCTCCTGGGCTGGAGTAGTCCTCCTGCCTCAGGCTCACCGGGAGCTAGAACCATGGCATATGCCACCATGCCCAGCTAGTTCTCCTTTTTAAGAATGTGTAAGCCTATTCCAGGGGGTTATGAACAAAAAAGAAATCAGAAACTAAAACAAAGCAGCAACCATCAGAGAGTGTTTATAAAAAATGATTATTTCATACAGTTGCAGAGTCAAATCACCTATGTTTTAGAATAATAAAAATATAACTAAGTGTCATTGATAGTGAATATTTATAATACTGTAAACTGAAGCCAAAATCTTGATCTTGAAGGTTCTTCAACTTACAGGATTCTCAGAACTTTAACCCAATTCCAACAATCGATTGTGTCTGTTATTCCCAATCTGGGACCACCTTGTGTTTACTAGCTGATTATTTATGGACAGTTTGGTTCTCTTTTAGGTGATGTTTTGAACTTAGAAACTGATGATGATGTAATGCTTGAGAAAGTCCCATATTGCTGGTATCTGAATCAGCGGTAGACACATACTCCTAATTTAGTCTGGTTTTGTTTGCTTGTTCTCCAGGTTTTCACATTTCACAGTGATTTGGTGGACACTTGGTAGAGCCGTATTAAAGTACCGACTCAGCCCCATTGTTACAGGTGGCATTTGAAACCACAAACCACTTCTCCAGTGGGAACAGTTAGGAACCTGAGACAGGATTTATGTTGACGAACTGTTTGCCAACACATTACAATGTGATGACACATCTCTAATCACTTCTCCATAAACAATATCCTATAGAGCAGTCTGATACATTCTTACCAAATAAAGATTTATTTTAATCTTCTGGGGAATGTCTATTTATCCCAACTAAAGAAAATTACAGAACATGTAATAGCACATTCTTATTAACTTTCTGCATATTTTTCTTTTCTGCTGTTTTTTTTTTAAAGTGGAATGAGAAACAACATACTAAAACTGTTTGATAATAAATATCATTTTAAAGTTGAAAACCGTGGCATTTATTTATTCTAATTTTTTGTTAAAATATTCTTATGGGAAAGGTAATATTGTTTTGTTTTGTTTTGTTTTTTTAACAAAGTCTCACTTTCCATGTAGGTAGAGTGCCATGGCCACATAGCTCCCAACAACCTCAAACTCCTGGGCTCAGGTGATCTACTTGCCTCAGCCTCCCTAGTAGCTGAGACTACAGGTGCCTGCCACAATGCCCAGCTATTTTTTAGAGACAGGGTCTTCCTCTTGCTCAGGCTGGTCTCAAGCTCCTGAGCTCAAGCAATCCACCTGTTTCAGCCTCCCAGAGTGGTAGGATTACAGGCGTGAGCCTCCGCTCTGGGTCCTGGGAAAGGTTATATTATAACGATCCTGTGGAAAAGGCTCTCGTTTCACTCTTCATTTTGTTTCCATAGTAACTAGCATGGTATCTTATGTAGTTGATGTTCTATTAATGTATTTGTTGATTTAATAACTTAAAAAGGTTTCTTCTAGTTTCCAGTGGTAACACCTCCACAAGTACTTATATGAAAATCTTTGAGAACAATCTATTTGATTCTTATTTTTTCTCTTTCAAGCCTTGAGAAAATGTCATTTGTTTTTAAGTTTCTTCACAAACTTCTTACTTGTTACCTAATGACACATTTTTCTGAGACAGTGTTGCTTTGTGGCATGGGCTGGAGTGCAGTGGTGGCATTGTTGCTTGATGCAGCCTCAAACTCCTGGGCTCTAGCAATCCTCCTGCCTCAGCCTCCTAAGTAGCTAGGCTTCAGGCTCTTACCACTTAACCCGGCTGATTTTTCTATTTTTGTTGAGGCAGGGTCTCTCTCTTACTCAGGCTGGTCTTGAACTCTTGGCCTTAAATATATTCCTTCCTCGGCCTTACAATGTGCCAAGTTTATAGGATATGGACCACTGCATTTGGCCTCTCTAATGAGATGTTTTAGAAAGATTATGAAAATTTATTGGAAGCAACAAATGCTTTCCCATGATGTAGTTCCTATAAGCGTAAATAGATAAATTTGGGGTAATTTTTCACTTACCATCATGCCAATGCGTTTAGATTCCATCTGCAGGACTCAATCCTGTAGGTGTGCTGCAGCACCTCTAAATCTTAAGGATTATTATTGTACATTGAAAAGGCTTAAAATAAATCACTGTTTTGCATTGCTGATTAAGCCCCAATATAATCTTGAACTCCTTGGAAACTACCTATTCTAAGGGTACATTTGGCTGTCTTTGAATAAAAGCTTAGTTTTCCTCCAGCTGATCACTTCCCTTCCACAGGCTTTTCTGCTTCCCTCTAAGGTTCTGGGCTACTGTGGATTGTAGCATTTTACCCACAGGTTGGAACCCCCCTTTCCTCCTCAGCCTAAAGTTGTGTTCAAGTTCCCTCTCCTTGTCTTAATAGGTTTCTGACTTGAGCTTCATTTTCTGACTCTTAATCACTTAGCTTGCATTTTCAATCATTTATTTAGAGAAGTACAATACATCTGGAAATCCTTGCCTATTTTGTTCTACCCATCTAAAGATGGCACTTCAACTTCACGGTGTTGAATCTGTGAGATTCTATAAGGAACAAGACAGACTCATAAAACTATTTTCTTTTTTTTTTTTTTTGAGACAGAGCCTCAAGCTATCCCCCTGGGTAGAGTGCTGTAGCATCACAGCTCACAGCAACCTCCAACTCCTGGGCTCAAGCGAGTCTCCTGTCTCTGCCTCCCAAGTAGCTGGGACCACAGGTGCCCGCCACAACACCCAGCTATTTTTTGGTTGCAGCCATCATTGTTGTTTGGCGGGCCTGGGCTGGATTTGAACCTGTCACCTTAGGTGTATGTGGCTGGCACCTTAGCCACTTGAGCCACAGGCGCCAAACCCAAAACTATTTTCCTGAGTTGTTGGACCAAGGTTACTTCTATTGTTCCAATTTAAAAATAAAAATTTAGAAACTTGAAATTGGCCACATAAGTAACTACCACAGTCCTAGATTTTTTGGTGTTACCAGAGATGTGGGACCCAAACAGCTCAGTCTTAAAGAAACATCTGAGAATGCATTTAGATGGATGATGTAGAGGCCGTCCTGCGCAATGGTTAAGAACATGGAGTCCTGAGTTGGCTGGTCCGGGTTCAAATCCTGATAGCAGCATTTATTAACCATATGGCCTCATGCAAGTATTTAACTTCTCTGTGTCTCAGCTGGCTCATGTGTAAAATGGAAAACAAGTCTTCCCATAGTACCTACATAGAGCTATTGTAAGGATGAAATTAGATAATTCCTTTTAAACCTAGTGTGTAGCGATCCCTCCATATGTGCTAACCCTCATTGTTGTTGTGTTCCAATGTAATCGTTCTAGCTCTGCCTAGACCTGTAGAAATTCCTATCTGTTGAGAGGTCCCACATGTCAGTGTGTTCAAATCCATCCATAAGACTAATCTTGAGGAGTACCTCCCAGCCTTCAAGCCTGGGTCTGGTCCAATTTCATGGCCCTCAGGTAAATATCATATTTTCTCTGTATTTGCTCTAGAGAGAATACAGTTTAGAACTCATCAGGCTATAAGAACATTCTGAAAACGGGACCAAGTTTCTCTTTATGAAAGTAAATGTACCATCTTGATATCCTTGATATTTGAAAAAGTAAAAGTAGCTGCTTTCCTGCAGGAGAGAAAAAAAGTTTTTTGCTAAGTGAAGTGAAAAATTTACTTCTCCCTGCTTCTCCCCGCAGATTCCATAAATATGCTGAGGCTGTTTGTTTTGCCGGATGGGTTTTGAGACCCTGCTGAAATAGGAGATGCCCTCATTTCTATTTCCCTCAAATTCTACCACAAACCACACTTGGGAGAGAAAAGAAGTCGCCCTGTAAGCATGTTTACCTTCAAGTGCCTAGGAAGTGGCAACGTATCTGCGAGGGATGACTCACCCCCTCAGGTCTATAAAAGCCAAGGTCCTGTCTGTGCCAAGGCAGCAGCCTCAGGCCAGCCGTTCAGGATGCTCCCAAGGGTCCTGCTTGCCTTCCTCTTCCTGAGCTGGACTCCTTGTCGGGCCCTACCCCTTCCTAATGGTGATGATGATGATTTGTCCGAAGAAGACCTCCAGTTTGCAGAGGTAGAGTATTTCGCCAATCCTGATGATGTGGTGCGTCTCATAAATTCCCATCTTTTTAATAAGCAGGTCACTCTGGTCTCTGTTGCAGCACTACCTGAAATCATACTACCACCCTCTGAATCTTGCGGGAATCCTGAAGAAGACTTCAGCCAGTTCCATGATTGACAGGCTTCGAGAAATGCAGTCTTTTTTTGGCTTAGAAGTGACCGGTAAACTTGACGATAATACCTTAGATGTCATGAAAAAGCCAAGATGCGGGGTCCCTGATGTCGGGGAATACAATGTTTTCCCTCGAACTCTCAAATGGACCAAAACAAATTTAACCTACAGGTAAATCACAGGCTATCTGTCTTTAATATTTGTTGGTTTTTTCCTTACAGTATTAAATATCTAATATTAATGAGGCCTTAAATATTTAATTGGAAGTTAAGTAAGTCCAGGAATAGCTTTAATACTGAAACTGTCTCATAACATCTATTTTTGTTATGTCAACCCTGCACTTGTTTTCAGTGGATGTCTCAAGGTACTTCTTTGTACTGTCATTTCTTCTGGAAATGAAACCAAAATATAAGTAAAATTAGGGTCGGGAAAAGTTGCAAATGTAATACAGTCATGTATTTATTACACCACTGTTAAGATGGATGGTGCTCTTTCTAGGAACTTTACAGAGCTATTTCATTTACTTAGGGCTATATCAATATACAGTAGAACCTCTGTAAGTTGACCGCCCAAGGTACCAGAACAAACTGGTCAATCTCTGGAAGTGGTCAGCGTAAGGAACTAGGCCTACTGAACTGATACGTACGCGTGGCTCATGCCTGGTCTAGGAAAATCAGTTCAATTTAAGGAAATGGTCAATGTAAGGAGGTGTTCAGCTAGGGAGGTTCTACTGCAATTCCAAATTTTTAGCATGCAAAATAAGTTATGTTAAACATCTGAATATTTTTAACCTAAGGTGCCGAATCAGATATTTGAAGATATGCAAATTCTGTTTGAATTCTTGTATGGCATCACAATTAATAGAAAGCACTGGACTGGGGGTTGAACAGCAATATTCCAAGAAAATACAGGGTAGCCATGAAGTTCATGTGCAATTTAAAATAGTTAAAAAAAATAATAAAATAAAATAAAATAGTTGTTACCTTCCAGTAGTTCTCTTACCTTCCAGAAATTTAATTGAATCTGTCTCTGTTGAATAGAATTGTGAACTACACCCCTGACATGACTCATTCTGAAGTTGAAAAGGCATTTAAAAAAGCCTTCAAGGTGTGGGCTGATGTGACACCTCTAAATTTTACCAGACTTCACGATGGCACTGCTGATATCATGATCTCTTTTGGAACTAAAGGTAATGATGCAGAATCATTTTAACAAGATGGTTATATTCTTATTCATAATTGGTACCTTTTTAAAATTCCTCTGTCAGTCATTCATTAATTTTTATAGTTTTCAACAAAAATTCACCAGACATGTGTGCTGGTTATGACTTGGTGTGATCAGATCCTAACTCTTGCTTTCGTGTGTAGAGCATGGTGACTTCTATCCGTTTGATGGACCCTCTGGTCTCCTGGCTCACGCTTTTCCTCCTGGACCAAATTATGGAGGAGATGCCCATTTTGATGATGATGAAACCTGGACAAGTAGTTCCAAAGGTATTATTCTTTTAAAGATATAATTTATTGATTGTTAAATTAGTGAACCCACTGGTACGAAGTTAAGCATAATAGTGAATTATATTTTCTATTGGATTACATTTTCTAAAAAGAGAAGTTTATCTCGTATTTAATATCTCTATGAGAGACATTTCTATAAACCATTTCATGTTAGACATGAAAAATGAAGATACTTTAATTCTGATCTCTCTCTAGGAACTTTATGGAGCTATTTCATTTATTTAGGGCTATATCAATATGTAGTAGAACTTGAGGGATATCGACTAACTTTGTTGGTAGGAACAAAAGTAGGACCTAAATGTCTTACCTGTCAGATAAGGTCATATTACAGTGTATTACCTTTTGGCATGTTGAAGAAGTACAGTTTATTATAAATATATATCTAAAAACTATTAGGGCAGAATCTCTGAATTATGAATGAATTGTATGTGAATTGAAATAGGTTAATAGTTTTTCCTTGGTAGTAATATTAATGACATAAGTTCAGTCAAATTTCTATTCCCCATTATATGAGTTACTTGTTTAGACTTGTGTATATCACTCCTTTTATAAATATCACTCTGGGAAATTAAGACAGGGTCTTATTTCAAACAATATGAGACAGACAGGATGAAGGTTGTATTTACAAAAGGAAAATAAAACTGAATGGTGAATTAATTCAGTTAGTAGTTGAGTCTGCAAGGTTCAAAAGAATTGGGAATGTTAATTTAGGAAAAAAAGCCCTGGGTTGTTCCAATTAGGGATTACTTAGCTATGACAACTAGAAGTAGTCTTCATAGACAGCTGATTGTTATTATTCATTTAAATAAAAAGGATTGTTTTTCAAAGGGTAAAGTATCAATATCTTAAAAGTCTTAAAAGATCAATATCTCAACTCCAATGCCTTCAATCTATCGTTGAGAGATAAGTGAGAATTTGCTTATTTATGTTCTTGAGTATTTTACAGGTAAGGATGGTATTAGGAAGAAAGAATAACATCTAGTAATATTAAGAGAGAGACACATGGGCAGTGCCTGTGGCTCAAAAGGGTCGGGCGCTGGTCCCATATGCTGGAGGTGGTGGGTTCAAACCCAGCCCTGGCCAAAAAAAAAAAAAAAAGAGAGAGAGAGAGAAAGAGGAACAATAAGCTCAGATTTGGGTTCTTATATAAATTCTAAGTTCAGAATATTTTTTAATCTCAATGAAATAAAATAACCACAAACAAATCTGGATTAACTTTACAGCTGAGGTTAAGAGTGGCATCCAATACCAGGCATTCCAGTGAGGAGGTAGTTACCATTCAGATGACTGGCCTGATTGCCCTTGTGAACTGCAGGGTTTGTTAAATCGGTTGTTCGTTTTCCTCATGCGCAGGCTTAGATAGGGAAGGGTGTTTAAAGACAAACTGAAACTGCCAGCTTCAGCTCTCATGTAGTCTATGTGCAACTCACACCATGTATTGCCTTATATATTCCATTTTTCTTTTAGTCTTCTATTAAAATTTTTTCCAATTTAAAATACTAGCTCTAGGAGGCTAAAAGCTGTTGGGAAGAATGGTGTAAATACAGGGACAGAGTGGGCTAGGGCAGAGGCAGCACGGCTGATCACGTCCAGAGTTTGTATTCTTCTGAACTCCGGAGATACGCTGGGAAGAGTAATTCGGCTGGAATTCGTCCCTGGGTGTGGACCTAGAGACCCCATTAGGGCCTTCTGCTTGGTCATCTCTGGGGACGCTGCCTCCTGTCTGGAGGATGTTCCTGGCGGCAGTGTCCCCGTGTGCCCTGTGTGATTTCTCTGCTCCTCCTTTACGGTCATCTCTACCTGTTTCCTCACCTGACCTGAGAATATAAAGAGCAAATCAATATTTCTACTGTTTTCATAGTGATCCTTACTAATTAGTAATTATATGAGAGCAAGCTGTTGGCGTCCCAATGGTGTAGGTAGCTATGATCAAAAGAACACTGAATTATTTATAAGGATTAAATCAATTCGCTGAATCTTTCTTCAAGAAATTGAATATTAATTTCATTTTCAATTTTTTTAAATATCAATTTAAAAAAAATAAGGTTGTGAAGAAAAAGAAAATAACTCACAAAAGAAACATACGCAAAAGACAAAGGAAGTAACCCCTCTTCCGTCTCTGGTCAAGGGAGCGCCTTGTTTTCTCCTGGTTTCTTTGTTTCCTTACAGGCTACAACTTGTTTCTCGTTGCTGCCCATGAGTTTGGCCACTCCTTAGGTCTCGATCACTCCAAGGACCCCGGAGCACTCATGTTCCCCATCTACACCTACACTGGCAAAAGCCACTTCGTGCTGCCTGAGGATGATGTTCAGGGGATCCAGTCTCTCTACGGTAACTTGTCATGCATCAGCTCTAAAAGCAGAATGTAATGGGTTATGAAGACAGTTATATAGGCTGAATAGGTACATATATTTATTCTTTAAATTGTAGTTACGAACCTCATAATAACATCTTTGTCAATGATGAACCTGCATATGCAAAACAGTGGTCCCATAAGATTATAATACATGTACCATATTTTTACTGTACCTTTTCTAGGTTTAGATGCATTTAGATACACAAATGCAGTTGTGCTACAGTCGCCTGTAGTATTATTTGGTGTAGTAACATGATGTCAGGTCTGTAGTCCAGGAGCAATGGGCCACACCAGACAGCCTATGCGTGGTAGGCTGTGCTAAATCCATGTACATACACTCTGATGTGTGATGATGAAATCACCTAATGGCATATTCTTTAGAATTCATCCCTGCCATTAAGTGACAAATGACTGTACTCCTTGAATTTACCACTGCTTTCCCGGTTTTTCTATTAAAAGCTAGAAAAACATACCCATTTTTTTCCCCTTAAATGAAACTACTTGCTCAAGTAGGAATATTCCATTCTCCTAAGTTTTTGTAGAATATAAGTCCTTGTGTTTGTATTTTATACATTGCAAGGTGTGTTTGATACTCTCAAAACACCTCTGCAATAAGAAAGGAAAACATTTTATTCTGTGTTTAACCAACGGAGAAACTAAGCCCTGTAGTGTTCCAATAGTGTACCTATCACAACACAGTTCATGGTGCAATGAGATCTTAACCAGCTTTTATTAATTCTGGGTTTGTTTCACTCGTTCCAGTTTGCCACAGTAAAAACCTCTCATGTGGCCTGTGGTGGTTTTTAATCAACAAATACGGTGACTGTTGTAATAAATTCTTCCTCTTTTCCCCCAAATTGTTACAAAATTTAATATTTATAAAATAATTAAACCTCAATTCAATTATTTATTTATAAATTACTTGTCATATATATAATTAAAGTCACAGAGCACAGTCATTAGTGTAAACAATTCTGAAGCAAATAGTTCAGTAAACTTGAGCACTCTATCCCAACCTATTATTTATTTCCCTCTATGGGTTTAAATCTATCACACAGCTAGAATAGTCCTGGGCATGAACTTGAAGATGGTGAAAGGAATTTGCCAACTTAATTTGCAATTATTACATAGTGTTTCTACATTATTGTGACAAAGGAAGTGATAAAAGAACTCATATGAACCAGACAGAGAAAAAACAGCGTTGGATTATTATTGTGTACCGCAGCCCTGTCTGTGCTCAGAGAGCTGGCGGGTTACAAACAAGTGGCAAGTCATATCGGAGTTGCTGAGGCCTGCCTGTCACAGATGTGACTGCACTGTGGCAGATTGGTAAAGCAAAATCGGCTGATGTTGATGCTGGTTAGACAGTCAAGGGAAGGAGTGGAGATGAGGGCTCCCAAAGGAAGGTATGCCTTCAGAAATGGTAGCAGGAGGAAGGTGGTTCTCAAGATCAGTCCATCCACAGGTTGTAAAGAGTAAGGGGAAATTTTCTCCAAGTTGTTTGCAATCCCCCTCAAGAAATGCAAGTTTATAGTTCAGAAGGATCCCAGAGAGTTTGAAGGATGGACACAGAAGGGCAGTCGTGGCCTTCTGTAGCCTTGTAGCCCAGGAGGAAGGGAACAGGGTCATAGGGCATTTGCTCCATTGTGACGTAGGAGCCTCAGGAATCATGGCCTCCCTGGGAGGGAAGCCTCTTCTACCCTCCATTGGCAGGATCAGCCTGTTATGCTGTGACCAGAGTCATCAGCAATGTCACACTCAGTAATTTCTCTCTTGCATTTCATGACCCAGGTCCAGGAGATGAAGACCCCAACCCTAAACATCCCAAAACACCAGACAAATGTGACCCATCCTTATCCCTTGATGCCATTACCAATCTCCGAGGAGAAACCATTATCTTTAAAGACAGGTGAGATTCTTTCATAGAATTCTATGAGACAAACATTTATGAAGCCGTGTCTGGATATTGACAAAAGACTTGGTCCAACTTGCAAAGGTGAAACTTAGTGAAAATAACAGAACTTTGGGCAGGCTGTTCTTTTACATATAAATGACTGATAAATAGATGTTTTGTTTTCTGATGGATAATCTTAACATTGGGTAGCTTCTTTTTATGTGTTTGATTATAATCTTTCTTATAAAGACAACCAAATCAGTCTAGAAAATCCAATTTATTTCTAAAACGGATAAGTATGGAAAGTAATTACTGTGTTACTAAACTGTTACTAGTAATGTTCAGGTGAATTCATTTTGTTGTGGAAAGACTTTAGTTTTGGATATATATATTGGGATTTGAGAGAGGGAATGAAATGAATCCAAAAGCACAATATTAATTTTTAATTTTACATGGTTCTTATAAGCTTATTTGTTCATTCATTCATTGCTTCCTTAACTGATCCAATGGCATCCCCAGTCCTTCTTTCATAAGGTGGAAATAGTTCTTGGGGTTTTCTCATGAATCAGTTTCGCCAGGCCAGGACATCATGGAAGAAATAGTTTGTATAAGTCGTGTTTTCTTTCAAGAGTCCAACACAATTCCTGGCACAATTGCTCCTAACTTGCAAGACACGCAAAATTGAACAAAGGCATGGTCTCAGCCTCTTCTGACTTAGAGTTCTTACAAAGGGTTTGTGAAATTTCAGACATGAATACCTTGGATAGAGTTGGGATAACCGTAACTTGTCACTGGCACTGAAAGGGAAACAGAATTTCTCTTCTAGGTACAGGGAATGGCTGTGTCTAACTTACTTGTACCAATGTGGAGAGAGGTGACTGGCAGGGTAGAAATATTGCACTTAAAAAATGTGACAGAAAACTCTGTATTTTTACTTTTGTGTTAGATTCTTTTGGCGCCTGCATCCTCAGCAAGTTGATGCGGAACTATTTTTAACAAAATCGTTTTGGCTGGAACTCCCCAACCGTATTGACGCTGCATACGAGCATCCATCTCACGACCTGGTCTTCATCTTCAGAGGTAAGTCTTCCACCTGGGAGCCTCCTCCATGACCATGGTCGGCAGTGGTGGACTGGACACTACCTGAGACTCAGTAAAGTGACGATTGCTGGAAACACACCTAGATTAAGACCCTCTGGGAATGAGTAAGCACCTGAAGTTACTCCATCCAAAGTCTCCAAATTTGACACATAAGAGATGCACATTATTACTTATCAGACACTCTTTCTTTCATATCAATCATGTTAGTTTTTTCTCTTAAAAATGATTTATTAAGAAATATTATAACAATATACATTTTGAAAAAGTAAAAATAAAATTCCCTTGTAAAACATTAGATTGTTTCATCTTCTCACTTTTTCTCTGGTTGTTCATCATTCTGAGTCCTGATTTTTACATATTTCTTTTCATAGTGTAGATACATTTTTATATTCTACTTGTTCCCTTGACATAAAATCATGAAAAAGTTTCCAAACTGCTAGTTTATCTTTCCGAGCATAATTTAAAATGACTACATAATATTCTACTGATGTTGTTCTGTGGTTCTACTATTATAACTAATGGTTAGTGAAGTTACTTTTCAGAGAAGCAAATAACTTCCTAACTGGTATAAAATATAAGTTCTTGATTTAATTTAGTGTTCTTACTGTACTGTTTATTCATGCAGAAGTTTTAATGTGTGTTTTCACTCAGCTCCAAACTTAATATTCAGAGTTAATAAATTGCCAAATTAATTGTGATGTTTGATTGGCTCTATTTATAATGAGGGAATTAAGATCTTAAATATAATTTTTGTTTGAAAAATGCTCATGTTTCTGTTTAATAAACATAGTGAGTGCAAACACTAAGTATTTTATTTCTAACTATGTCAAGTGAGTCTGTCTTTAATGGATTCCCTTGGATAATAAAACTGTCTTTTCACTTATTCTAGGTAGAAAATTTTGGGCTCTTAATGGTTATGACATTATGGAAGGTTATCCAAAAAAAATATCTGAGCTGGGATTTCCAAAAGAGGTGAAGAAGATCAGTGCAGCCGTTCACTTTGAGGATAGAGGCAAGACTCTGTTCTTCTCAGGAAACCAGGTCTGGAGGTACGACAGCAGAACGCACTGACACATCTGTGTCACAGCGGCCGAGCGAGTCTCATGCCTTGGTCTCTACTGTAAATTGGCCTCGCACATCATTGTAAAGGTCATACTTGTCATTCATTCCTGTTCCACGTCGGCCCTTCAGACATGTATTTAAAAGTCTCAATCCTTCTTGAAAACACACACATAAAATCCTCACCACTTTTCAAACACCTTTTTCTTTCTTAGCCATTAGTTGTGCTTTAATCATTTCAAAACCATCTTTTTCTTTGAAACCTTCGTTTCTTTTTTTCTTTCTTGTGGATTCTCTTTCTTGCGTCCCTGCCCTAATTTACATGTGACTCCATCTTCTATGGCCAGATAGAACACCAGCAGGAGCACAAGGTAAGATGGGTTCAGGAAAGGCCCCTGTTCTGTGGAGTCAGCTTATGCATTGGAAATGCTGACCAGGAAGTAGGAGGCTGATAGGTTTGTAAAGTCAAACTTTCTGAAGAGCGAGTGGAGCTGGAAAGTTTAAAATATATGTAGAGATTCAAGTAGCGTTGACCTCTGCAACGTTTAGGAGTCCAGATCCGAGTCTATATCTGGAATTGAGAATATTTCATAGGTGCTGGATGCTCGAAATGTTTAAAATGAGAGCTTCCCTCCATCACTACACACACAGTCTCTCTCGCTCTCTCACATACATGATGACTTGATTGACATAGACATCTTCCTACCAGCCATGCCAGCTTCTTCCTGACACTGTACTCCATCCATTCCCTGCTCTCCATAAGAAGAGTATGACTCAGTCAGGAGGGCTCTCTCCCACATCTCAGACAGGAGGCACCTTTGCAGCCCCTTGAGCTTGTTTCTCTTATGCAATATTCTTTGCCAGAGGCCCCTTCCCTGAATATCTCTCTTTTAAAATTCTACTCTGAAACACTATTCAGAGTTCAACTGAAATATCCCATCATCTACCAAGTCTTTTTTGAATGCCCCATTCTGAGATTATCCCCCCTCTTCCTGCCCTCCCGTGGCAGTTCATGTTCACTCTCTCAGGCTCAACTTCTATCATCTGGTGTTGTAGTTATGTGTAGACATGTCTGAGCTTTCTTGGTAGTTTGGTGGTTCTTACCTTTGACTTGTTGGAACATACCTCGGGATATAAAAAGTAGTTCCTGATAGGAGCTTGTTCTTCTAGATTAATTGCAGAAATGTGCTTGGTTGGTCAGGGTGTGGGGGTGGGCAGGGGAAAAGGAGCATGGAGAATGTAGTTTCAAGGGTGGGAAAGCTATGCTTCCCTTCCTACCTTTGCTGTTACCTCTACAATGTTTTAGTACAGAAATTAAACTTTAAGTATTTTTGTATCCACTGCCATACTTAGCAAGCTCTCTTACACATAGTGGGAGATCAATAGACAATCATTCTATGCATAAGCATGCATTGATTTCACTCTAAGAGCAGCTTGCTGATGACATACTGTTATAATAGATACAGCATTTTTGAGATGGAAATAAATTTGCAACAAAGATGGCCTTTAGGAATCTGCTATACATTTGGTGTTCTAATTCTTGATTCTAAAAAACTACCAGATGTCTTAAGGACTTAACAATGTAAAGCTCTTGTTAATTTTGAAAGGTGCCATCTTGTTCACTGTATTACTTCTAGGGTATTTCTAAGAATTGTAACCTGCTTAAGAGTTTTTTTTCCTTATTAAACAGCTATGATGATACTAATCATATTATGGATAAAGACTATCCCAGACTAATAGAAGAAGACTTCCCAGGCATCGGTGACAAAGTAGATGCCGTCTACGAGAAAAACGGTAACTAGTTCCATTGTATTGACCTGAAAGAAGCTCTTTCCTGCACAAAGAATTTCTCTACAGGACTTTGAGGTGCTAACAGACACACAACAGTTAAGGAATCAGTCACTCCTCTGTGCCTACTCATAGAGACGGCAAAACAAAAAAAGCCACGTTTAGAAAAAATGAGAATTCTACTTAATGATTATTAATTCTATAAATAAGAAACCCCTAGCTTTCAATATCACCTTAAATTAAGCTTAAATATGGCAAGATGCAAAGGATAGTGCCAGAATTCGAAATGGGGGTATAGTGGGGAGTGACTCATGTATAAAGCCTCAGAACCACCATAGGTATACAATGATTTTTTTAAGAAGATATCTTTTCTCTAATTTACAATAAATAACTAATATCAATAATCCAAGCATTTAAACTAGAGCTCATGGCTAGACAATTAAGTCTAGATGACAATTTAGGAGAGCTGGGAATATTTACATTATTAAAAAAAAACTAAAGCAATATATTAAACAACAATAGGGGTTCAAAAGAAAAGCATTGAAATGTTTAAAAAACTGGGATCTGAGAGATTGGACTTTTAATATTAACTGGAGTAAAAGCTTATTATTTTCGCACTCTGAAATGTTCCTTGTGGTCTTTTTCTTATAGGTTACATCTATTTTTTCAATGGACCCATCCAGTTTGAATACAGCATCTGGAGTAACCGTATTGTTCGAGTCATGCCAACCAATGCCCTATTGTGGTGTTAAGTGTCTTTTACAAATTATTATTTAAATCCTAAAGAGCATTTGGGAGGACACTTCCAGAAGTGCGGGAGCAGGGGGAGGAGAGACCCCAGGGGAAAGCTTAGTTCTGTGAACAAGCTTCAGTAAGTTATCTCTGACTGTGTATTATTGTATGACTATGCGTGGCTGGAACCACACTGAAGAACTTTAAAACAATGAAATTGAGGCTCTCCAAGCACTTCTAGAGAAGCTATGGTGCGAGTCCCTACACCAAAACTCAGACACACGGTCAGTGAGAGTCAGCATACTTTTAAAATATTTATAGAGAAACTTTACAAAGGCATAAAAGAAATCACATTTATATACGTGATGAATCATACTTATGCAAAAGTATAAAATGATATGAAAATGGAATTTGGGGGGAGCCTGTATATGGCTATAAGGTAGCCATATATAAAATAGATACATGAGAGGGAAATGTCTGTAATAAATAGATTTCAAAGGAATTGTTTGTGTTTTGCACTGAGAATATTCTCCACCTTCTTCACACAAACAACAGGAAAATAAGGCACTTAAAACAGGTGACAAAGGTGTGGCCTTTGGATCCTATTTGATTTTTACTTTTGGCGATGACTCAAGGGCTGCCCTCAAAAAAATGGAGACAAACTCTTTTTATGAAAATCTTTTGGGCTTTTCAAAAGTCACACACACAAAATTAAAGTTATTATCAAAATAACCTAAGGCCGTGGCATTTCTTTTCCATAAATCATTTGATAATTTAAGACTAAGAGTAGTGTTTTAACCCTATTTTATCTAAATAATTATTTTAATTGTCCAGGGCACCTTGCATCCATAGGCTATTTTCTATAGCCTTGTATAATATGAAATAAAATATATCTTATAAATTGGAGTGTATATGTTAAAGCAGAGCCATCTGAAACAAAGAAGATGGTCTACTAGATTTTGATCTTTTGAAATACGAGGGGGGCTTTTCTTTTTTTTTTTTTAAGTCACATTTTTCACAGTGCCCTTATCAGTGGCTCTCAAGGGAAGAACTACAGTGCTGAGAGATCTCATCCATAAAAAACTCAGGCAACAAAAATGAAGTATATATTTGCAAAATGTATTGGGAAGTGCATTATGTTGTTTGTAATAAAAAGATATTTTCAACAGACCTTGTAACATGGCATATTTTGTCTTTAGATATAATTGTAAGTTTTTCTCAAGACAGGAAGTGTCCATTGCCAATATTCCTTGATGAATGTAATTCTCCTGCGTTGTTTTTGGTAAGAAGACTACTTTCCTAGTTTAGAATTCATTGTACCAGGTTTTGTTAACAGAAGTCCTAACAGAGTTTGCTCAGTGCTCATGTGAATGAGCCCCCTCCTCCTGGCTAGCTTCCTGGGATGGAGCCCAGGCATTTCCAGAATCTTCCCTGTTCAGAGTGTGTAGAAAGAGCAATATATCAGGAGTCAGGGAGATTTACTTCTAATCATTGCTCTGCCGTGAACTCTGCCATGTCACTTGGGCAGGCCATGTAATATCTCTGGGCCTTACTCTCTTCATCTGTGAAGTAGAAGGGTTGGCAGCTTGGGTGACGTTGGGGAAACATGGGGAGGCAGGAAAATCTATGGAGGAAACCAAGCACTATCTAGAAATCCCACAGTCCCCTGGGCTTAAGAAACTTAGGTCCCTTCTGTTTTCCTAAACACTACTCATTCCCAAACATTTAATAAATGTTCAACGTCTCAGGAGTCTGAGGCTGCAGGAAGCTCCAATGCCACCACTGCACTCCAGCCTGGGGATAAAGTGAGACGCTGCCTCTAGACAAAAAAAAAAAAAAAAAAGGCAGAAAAAAGAAAAGAAACAAGGTGGTCTGAGAACTTACAACCAGGAGGATTTGACTGGGGGGACATATGGGAAAGGTGTGTCCATAGGGAGAAGGTGAGGGCTCAGAAGGAGGGTTCAAGAAAGGTTTCAGTGAGAGAGGCACACCCGAGATAATGTTAAAAATGAGAAGTCAACTGGTCCAGTGAAAGGAGTCAGGGATCATGCCCCAGACCCCCAGAGCTACTCTTCCAGACTGGAGTGGATTTCTCAGAGACTGATTGGGAGCGCCGACACTGTTTTATGGTGATTTGGGCTGCTTATGGATTGGGTAAACCATGGCAAAGAACCCCTGGAATACAGCCATGTATCTCCTGTCCATGCCGAACATAAGCCACTGGATCACGCTCTCCCTCTCTCTCTCTCTGATAAACAAAAGGGATAAAAAGCTAATTAACTTTTAAAGCTTGTAAGCAAAAAAGAAAAAAAAATAGCATAGTTATTCTAGGGCAGTGACTTTTGACAGCTGTGCCATGGTTAAGAAGATCTTACATGTGCCATGAAAATTTTCAAAGATCATTAATTAAATGACTTTTGAAAGAGTTCAAAGCCCAGTAAATATATTCTTTTTTATAATCAATATAATTTAAGTGTGCTGTGGAAGTTTAACTATAGGTTCAAGTGGGCTGTGAGATAAAAAAGGTTGAAGAACACTGTTCTAGGGAGTGATTTGTGAATACCTAGTTCTTGGTAATTAAATCAGTTGATGGAAACGTGAGCACATGGACGTCATTAATACTCTGAAACTAAGTGGGCACCTGTTTCCATAAGGGCCCTAGGGAAGCCCTTCCCTGAGGCACAGTGACTTATGTCACTGTAGTAAAAGGCCAGACATTGTCCCTGGCCCTCATCTCAAATAGAGCACTTATTACATCCCAGGAAAACTCCAAGTGTTTGAAATCTAACTCTTCCTTGTGTAGGAAAGGTTGCTTGGGAGCAGTATTTCCCAAAGTGCATTTTGCAGACCAACAGCAGCGGCAGCAAAATCACCTAGGAACATGTTAAAAATATAGTGTGTGTGCTTTAGACCTATTGCTGGGACGCTGTAGCGGGCCCTAGACCTACTGCTGGGACGCTATAGCGTGCCCCAGGCTTGCCGCCGGGAACTGTAGCGCGCCCCAGGCCTGCTGCTGGGACGCTGTAGTCTGGGATCAGCAGTCTGTTTTTAGTTAGGTTATGTCCCTCAGCTTAGGAAACATCTAAGGAAGTGCTTCTTGTAACATATTTCTGGGAGATTTTATAGGTGTTACTGGGGACTTCCTGAGAACACAGTAGTCTACACCTCCTTCCAGAAGACTTACGGTGTGTGCTAGCAGAGAAAAGGCTGCATGTAGTCCATGTTTTCTTCAAAGAAAACAAGGTTTTCCAGACACATATGAATGCAAACATCATTTGCTTTTTTCCCTTTCCTTTTTTTTAATTTATATTTTTTGAGGCAGAGTCTCACTTTGTCACCCTTGGTAGAGTGTCATGGAGTCATAGCTCACAGCAACCTCAAACTCCCGGGCTCAAGTGATTCTCTTGCCTCAGCCCCCCAGGTAGCTGGGACTACAGGCACTGGCCACAACGACTGGCTAGTTATTTTATTTTTAGTAGAGATGGGGTCTCCCTCTTGCTGAGGCTGGTCTTGAACTCCTGAGCTCAAGCAATCCACTCACCTTGGCCTCCCAGAGTGCTAGGATTATAGGTGTGAGCCACTGTGCCCGGCCTTTTCCTTCCTTTTTAAAAAATATGTTTAATTTGATTTCAGAAATATTTTCCCCATGCTTCAGCATTTCCTTGCACAGTGTCTCCCTCTCATAGGTAGATAGATATTTAAATAGACAGAGATACAAAATGTTGCAGGAAGACGAGGCCCAATGGAGAGAAAGAGCACCCAACAGCATGTTTATAAGCGGAAGGACTTTATTTACTGGCTGGGAGTTTACAGCATAGAAGATTTCCAAATGGCCATGCTCCCCACTGGCTTGATCTTTCCCTTTTTATCGACAGTCAAAAAGTACCACCCCACAGGTACCTTTCTCATTGGCCAGTGTGAATCAAGCGGGAGATGCTATTCCAGCCCCGACAGGATTACAGGATTTCACAGAAGTGGAAATTTCCAAGTTCCAGGAAGTTGAGCTTACAAATTCCCAAGAGCTGAGTCACCATGGAGAGGACTCTGCAAGTAAATCCTTGTGGTCTCCTTGAGAAGACCCATTCTCCTAGACCTCACCCTTCTCAGGTATCCTCTCTCAATACAAATATATAGTCAAGATTATTCCATAAGTTCCATATTTGCTCCAGTCTCAATTACAATTCCCAATCTAATTGGTGTCCCTTATACTGTGGTCAGAGCATCAAATTCAAATTAGACAAATGTCTATTTGGAGCTTACCACTGGGAATGAGAAAAGATCCCTGGGAAGAGTAAATTCTGATCTAGAAGGATAAAAGGCTTCTTGAAGAAACTTCAGGAGACTCCATGCAAAGTCCTCCCCACGGTAACTCAGCTCCCAAGAATGTAAAACCTTAGCTTCCTGGAACCTTGAAACTAATGCTTTGCTTGATTCTGCTTCTGTAAACCCTGCACATGCCTTGAACCCTCCAATGAGGGACAACATAATAATTTGTTTGTCTGCCTCTTTGTGAGTCCTATAAAAAGGACAGGGACAGAGCTGGTAGGGGAGCTCGGCCATGTTGACATCTGCTGGCTGGAATAAAGCCCCTTCCTCTTTCAGACACAGGTTTAGATGAATCTTTCTCTCCATCAGGCCTTGTTTTCGTGCAATAGGGGTAGGGGTAGTATTGAAAAGGGAGTTTGTAGACAGCATGTTGGCCCAGGGACAACTGGAGGCCAACTGGAGGTTGTAATCTCAGGGACTCTGGAGGCTGAGGCATGAGAATTGCTTGAGGGAGGCCAGGAGTTCAAGGCTGAGGCAACATACTGAGACCTTATCTCTAAAAAGAAATAAGAAAAATTAACTAGGGTGGTGTCTGTGGCTCAGCAGGTAGGACACCGGCTCCATATACCAAGGGTGGTTTGAACCCGTCACCAGCCAAACTGCAACAAAAATAGCTGGGCATTCTGGCCAATGCCTATGGTTCCAGATACTCAGGAGGCTGAGGCAAGAGAATCACTTAAGCCCAGGAATTAGAGGTTGCTGTAAGCTGATGCCATGGTGCTCCACTGAGGGCAATAAAGTGAGACTCTGTTTAAAAAAAAAAAAAAAAGAAAAAGAAATAAAATAAGAAAAGTTAACCAGGTGTGGTGGTGTTGCCAGAATTTCTCTCTGCCTAATCCTTGATCTTGGAGATCTGAAGAACAAACCCATGGACCATGTGGATAAGTGACAGGACAGAGATTACTGATAGGCAGATTGATACACAGAAGAGGGGGAACGGAATCTCCAGGTGGGGCACCCAAATGGGAAGCCCCCGGGGTCTTCTGTCTAGGAGTTTAAATACTGCTTTTCCAATCCTGCAGGCAGGGGGCTTGGGGAAATCAATCACAATTGACCAGAGGTCTGCAAACAGAAGATAATCCTAAAGTGAGCAAAGGAATTGAGCCCTTACAGTTTTTGCCCAGGTGAGGAAGTAGGGTGCATGCTCTCAACTCCAGGAGGAACTTCCCAGAACCATCAGGCGGCTTTTTT